GGGGGGGTGAGTCACAGGTTTTGCCTGTCTTGGACATGAAAAATGGTGTGGGATTCGGAATTCCTGGGTTGTTGGGGCACTTGGGGGAAGTTGGGGGCCACAGGGTTTCGAGTTAGTGTGCAGGCGTTTTGTGTCGTTTGGTGTGCTAGTTTTGTAGTGTTTTAGGGTCATTGCGGTTCGAGGTGGTTGTTGTGATGACGATTTTCGTTCTTTCTGTTCCACAAAGTTTCAGCGCATGGTTTTGGGGATGGTTTCTTGCATCCCGTATCTGTGTATTTATACATAAGTCAACAAAAGTCAGCAAAATAAAACACATTGGGACATTTTTCGTTCCGCAATTGACATGAACTGATGGTTTCAAAACATATGACATGGAGATCAGGAACGCAAGTCTTACATGTCGCACATTACGAAACAATGCATCATGTGCAATGGAACTGTAAGATCATGCATGCACTACAACACACCGCGTTGCCAAACATACAAACAAAACTAACAATCCATAGGAAATATGAAACAATAATGTACATCTGTGATGATGTGACTCACAATGAATGTGGACTCAAAGAACACAATCATACAACGAGCGGAAAAAAGCAATGCAACTGTTGCACGAGTCGTAGAACATGCGATATACCACTCAAATCCCCGCAAACACAAATGTATTATCGAACGAGTGCTCGTCCTGTGACTCCTATCCACACACATCAGAAAACTACATACTCTCCATATGTACAGACGTCATCCTCATAAAAAACAAAAAGAACAGTTGTCACTAGTATACATATGTCTCATAAAAGCGAAGAAATAAAAATTGTACCACAAAGAACCTCCGCGAAACTAAAGTACATATGAGTCCAGACTCCTGAGACTACACACAAACCGCCCGACGCCTTGGACTACACAGGAGTCCTGGGAAGGCGAAAAAAAAACACATAAATAACTGTGAAACTAAAGTACATATGATAAACTACCAAAAGACAGCGACCAACGAACCGAACAATGGGTAACATCCACATAAACAGGAGGACATATCTATTGCCCCCCGCCCTTGCCTCCTCGTCGTCGTCCCCGTGTCGATGGTGTCTTATGTGTCCCTGTCGCGGCCGATCTCTCCCTCTCTCTCTCCCTGCGCCTCACAACCTCGATGGGTTCCTCCTCTGTGTCGACCTCTGAGGCACGCGCCGTCGCCAACCTCGCGCGCTCCCTGTGCAATGTGTCACTCAACTCCCTCAATCGCGCCTCGTCCCTAGCAATACGAGACTGTATCTCGTTAATGGTAGTGTGAGATCGCTCTCCACTAGGCGTCGGCACACCATCCTCTCCGAAAGTATACAACGCAGGCGCGGCCATGCGTAAACCTAAAAGTAAGTCTCTGCGCGCGCCATATCTAGGCATGTCGAGAATGTGATAAGAAGTCCTCAAACTCGGTGCCGGTCTCTGCTCCTCGCTCAACCGTGCCTGATGCGCCGCAAAATCACCCCGCACACCGTCATCAACTCGTCGCACTGTGCTCCACGAACGGTGAAGCGACTGCTGTGTGTCTAGACGAGGCGATGACGACATGTGGCCTCTCTCTCTCTCCCTGCCCGTGACAGTTGTCGGACTGCCGCGGACCGTAGTCGGTGGAGGAGGTGTAACTGGGGGGATGCGAGTCATGCGTGCACCCGAAGCCGCTGCTCTAATAGACTCTGAACGTTGCTGCTCGCGCTCCAAGCTCGCAGGAGAGTCAGAATACAAAGGGCTCAAAGGTGTGTACAGCGGGGGCGAGTGAACTACGACACCGACAAATCCTGCAGGTCGTGTGATAATTGGATCCTCCATCGCCGCACGGTGCAACGCGTCAGGGTCAAGTAGGCCCGATGTAATCTGCCCCTCCTCCATATCTGCTCTCTCTGGGTCAGTACGGTCATCTGCCGTACCGCCCTCCCCCTCCTCATCAACACCACCTCTACCCTCCGGAGGATGTGACATATCCTCGTGCGCGACCGGTGAAGGATGACGCAACACCAACGCCCACGACATACTGCCTCCAGCATCGTCTACATGTGCATCGCCCTGTACAGGTCCACATGCGTCAACCCCAATCGACCCGTGTGTCGATCGACCTGGACCGGTGTTGTGCGCAGGTGCAAGACGGTCGGCATCACCCGCCCCATCATCGCCCTCCGCATCGGGTATGCAGCCTCCATCCAACTCGCCTGAATCGTCGTCCATGGGAACTGCCTCCTCAGTGGCTGGATCGCCTGGCTGCAATGTGCCCGCCGCACACAACCCAACTATAACATCGGACACAGTCGGATCGCCATACTCAGACGCACCTAACTCTCCTCCCACGGCAGACCCGGAGTCCACATCTCCCTGGGGCGACATCTCGGGCACTGCGGTATCGGGTATCGCTGTGTCGGCTGGAAACGCGTGCGGGACTGTACGAACGCTATGCTCTACCCCACCCACATCACGGACTGCAGTACCCGTCTCCAAGTCTCTAGCACGCTGCTGCTCCACCATGTACTTATCTCTGCCCACCCACTCTCTCTGCAACTGCTGCAGCCGCTGCTCCTCATGTCGATCCATCCGAGCATGGAGCTCCTCCACGGACTCTGGACCACCACCCTGCACATGATGGTACTCGGCCTCATCCCCCACTCTCTCTCGCCCATCAGCCCGCCCTCGAACACCGCTGCCCGCAAATCCTGGTCCAAGGCCCTGAAAGTCACTCGTGCGCAGCTCCCTCTGCTGATTGTCGCCTCTAGGTGTCGAGGCGGGCGTACGCTGGCTCGGCAAATGCTCCTCATCTGTGATGTCGTCTAGGTGGTCCGACGCCTCGCGTCTACCACCTGAAGTCGATCCCGCCTGCGTCTGCTGCAGCCCCGCCGATCTCCTGAGACCCTCGGCGGCAGGCGCGGGCCGCGCGGCTCCCTGCTGCGCCAACCGTGCTCTGCGAAGTAGTAACGGCTCGTCGTGGTCGTCGTCGTCGTCCGCGTCGTCCGCGTCTCGCTGTCCACCATCCAACCCTATATCGGTGGCGGGGATGGGATCGTCGTCGCTCTCCCGAATGAATGTGCAACGTGGCTGGAATCCATCGGCTCCTCCTCCGTATGTGTAGTAGAGTCTCTCCACACTCTTATCTACACCAGGTGGCAAATCCTCTCCGACCTCTGTGTCCGTCTGCTCCTCCGACGCCTGCACTGGCTCTGCTAGCGGTGGAGGCACGTGGTCGTAAGGATGGAGTATCTCGGCTCTGGCACTGCAAACCTCGACAACCCTTGCTGGCCGACGAGCACCCTGCTGCCGGAAGCGACGAACCTGTGCAGCGATCTCGTGTGCCGACATCGTTGTCTGAGGTCTAGCTCCCCACTCCTCTGGCTCAGGCTCCTCATCCTCATCCTCATCTGCGACTATCGGGTGTGTATACTCCTCTGGCTGCGCCTCAGCCAGGGTCGCCATGTGACCCCACGGAAGAACGTACCCCCCACTCCGCTCACTGCATCCAAGTAGTTTGAGATTTGTAGCAATCTCAACTAACTGCGCGACCTTCCTGAACTCGAGCTTGTTGCGCTTGGCCGTGTGGATGCGCTCATGCTCTGCCCAATTCCTCTCAGCAGGAGAGGCGGACGTCCACATGTGCATCACACGGCCAGCAATCTCCTGCAAGTTCGGGAAGCATGCGCCGTGCTCCACCCACCATGACGCGCACCTGCTCGTCTCCTCGTCCCCTACACAGGCCTTCGCCTCGGCGTCCCTCATCACCCTCTCTGTGTGCTGGCCGACCCTGGAGTGGAAGGATCGCATCTGCTCACGCACCCGCAAGTATGCATCCCCCGCACGATCACCGCCTGTCTGTGCCAACAAAAACAAGTCGCACTCGGTGACGACCTCGAGGTCCGCAGCTGTCCTGCGGGCGGACTCGTAGTAACGGAGAGAGCGTCTACGGGGGTTGAGCAGGTGCGCCACAGCGTGCGCAGGCTCAAGCATATGCATAGTGCGGATCTGCACCGCCTCCACGCAAGGCCCCCGCATGTCATCAGGGAYGTCAGCAGCAGCCACCTGCCGTACCAACTCCTGTGACCATGAGTACATCGYGGACATGATCATGCCGCCCCTGTCCAATCTCCTCARCAGCTGGTGGACAGGGGTCATGASTGCGACAGCGTGCTGAACGTTGCGCYAGAAATCGKCGCAGCGGATGAGTTGTCGAACCCACAGAGCCTGTCTACGCTTCGACGACTCCCATGGGATCTTGTCCCACTCGTCGTCATGAAGCATGCTCTCCAAGGCATTACTCCTCGCCCGCAAACACACAAACATAAAAAAAACAGACGCGAATCGCGTCTCCACTGGGTGCATAAGTGTGCGGCAACGGCTTTTCACCCTGAACAGGTGATAAGCTGCGCCGTGCGATTTAAAGAATCGCACCAACGCCCGAGCCCTGAAAATGGTGTCCGTAACCCAAGGAACCCGTGTCCCGATGTCAGACAACATCAAGCTGGCCACGTGGGTGGCACACGGGAGCCAAGTGATACGGCGAATGTCCGGATCAGAGTCCTTTGCAAGGAGCTTTGCGGCCAACGTGTAGTTCGACGCAGAGTCCGTGCAAATGACCAACACGTCCTTCGGAGGGAAAGACCGAAAAATGGCCTTCCACCTCCTCAGGACGATCTGTGTCGTCTCGAACACTGAACCGTCTCGCTGGACGGTGGCGTATAAGAGGGCACCGCGCTTGGCGGCTGCCAGGAAGTTGACTATAGGCCTAGCGTCTCGCGACTGCCTACCGTCCGACAAAATGGTGGCCCCTATCGACTCAAACGAACTACGGACCTCCCTCAACATCGCGGCAACCTTCCCTCGTTGCTCATCAATAGCAGCGCCCCCAATGTCCTTGAAGGATGGATAAACTGGCCGCACTCCACGAGGCATGGAGGCCAACTGCTTCTTGTGCCGAAGCCATGACTGCCTTCTGAATGCAGCGAACGGAATACCGGCATTGTAGGCCCACTGCAAAAAAGTGTCCCTGAATCCGGCCTGCCCATCCGGATCGTACACCTCGTCCAGTCTCGACTGCCACTGTCTCTTGCGCCCCTGTGGCACGCCCTCAACTCCACTCTCCACCGGCATCTTTCCTCGCGCAGTCATAACCACATCCTCTCCTGGCAAATCGGGTGTCGGGCCTGCCCCTCCACCCTCCTCACCGCCCCGGGCCTCTGCTCGCTTCGCCTCCTTGGCAAGGAACTCCTTCACCTCCTCCACAGCATCACGCTCCTGTGGTCGTGACTGTGTCTCACCCGTCCGGCCCCTGCCACTGCCCTGATGGACGTCCACGGCTCGTCTATCCGCGATATCATGCTCCCTCATGTACGCCCGCAGTGATGACGCTCATCAAACTCGTACTCTGTGTGGTTCCAAATGTCCACAAACACGTCCATCGTTGCCGCCGCACACCTCTTCAGCTGCGTGAAGTGTTGCTGCGCCTTGAACAAATTGCCCTGCCAAACATGCTTGCAATAATTGCAGCGGAGCTTGCAGTCCCCGTGCCTCTTCTGCCACGTCCCCATCCTCTAACCCTGCGTCACATGACGCCACACTCTCGACTTCCTGCGCAGCTCATCCATCTGCACGTCGGTCGCTGGAACGAAATCGCCGCTTCCAGAACCGCCCGCACCCCCCGTCATTTTAGACGACAACGGGCTAAACCCCTGGAAACTGAATTACCAACCAACCCCCCCCCCCCCCCCCCCCCCCCCCCCCCCCCCCCCCCCCCTCCGCCAACCCCAACGAGTCTCGGGAACCGCTCCCGAGGACTCCGACGTGTCCCGCCTTCGCAGCAGGCCCAGGCGCTTCTCCGCGTGGGTCGCGACCAACTTCAACCCCGTGCGGACGTCGACAACTCCGTGCGGCCTTGTATGCGTCCGCAGACCGATCCGCGCGGCCTTGTATGCGTCCGGGGAGTCTAGCACCCGACAATGGTGAACGACTCGTCAATATGGAGCTGTGTATCCCACCCTGCCTTTCATGACTGGACACGGTGTCCAATGCGCCCCTGCCTCCACTAGAGGCTATCTCCACTTCTCGCTGGCGCTGTGGTGGCTCCCCGACATGTGCGCCAACATCAACCCGTACAGAGGATTGTGCACCACGAGGGGGCAACGGGGGAATCCCATAGAAAGAGCCTCGACTCAATGTGGTCTCTGGTGTAACGCTCTCTTGCGGGTTAACCCTGCCCCTCTCCTTAGTCCTCTCCTCTGCCATCACACCACCCACATCATGCAGCACGCTCTCACCCACCCTTTCAGCCACCATCTCGTGGCCCAATTGTTGATCCACACAGACTTCCACCCTGACGTCGAGCCTTTGCTCAGCCCTCTGCTCCACTCTACAATCTCTAGACATGTGTGCCCTTTGCTCTGTCCTCTGCTCCACCAATGCCTCCACCCTGTCTCCCAGTCTCTGCTCGGCCCTCTGCTCCACCGTCAGCTCCACACTCTGACCCGCTCTGTGGTATGCACCGTCCCCGACCGTCTGCTGAACACTCTGCTCCAACGTAGACTGTGCACCCTCCTCTCGCCTTTCTTGAACTGTGTCATCGACAGCGCAGTCCACCCTTTGATGCACTCTTTGCACCACAGTTTGTGTCGCCCTCGGATGATCAGCGACCTGCTCTGCCACCTGCTCCACCGTGTTGGTGTCCTCCGTCCTCTGTTGCGGCCTGTCGACCACACTCTGGTCAATCGTCTGGTGCACCATTTGCTCTGTCCTCTGCTCCGCCCTCTGCTCCGACCCATGAGCACCTGCACTTTGAGATCCCTCGCTTCGACGCACATGGTCTATGGCACTGGCGGACGCTGTCCCTGCACAGGCATGCGCCTCTACGATTGTGGTGTTGCCAATCACCCTAAGCTTGCCCCTTGATGAGATGACTCGACACGATCATGGGTTTGAGAAGCGGAGACTTGTGTGGACCCTGTCGCCCTCGCCTCTCGCCATGGTGTCGATCCATGAACGTCGTCATAGGAGCGATCTTTGTCCCGCTCAGCATCCTCTCTGGCCAACAACCCCTCAACATCGGTCTGACCTCCCACCCTCTGCCGTAGGGTCCTCACTGTGCGGAAACTGCCGCCCACGTATGCGTCGAAGTCCTCATGAGGGTCTAGCCCTGCCCAGTCATCGAGGATATCATGCTGGTCCTCGGCAAGGGTCTTCCCTTTGTCCCTCTCTTGCTGCATGTGCTCCCCCATCTCACGATGCATCCACACGGCATCCGCCCAAGGGCCAGGCTCATAATGATCGCCGGCATAGCGAGATGCAGATGTGATGCGATCACGACCGTCCTTATGACGGTTCGCTCGAGCGGCTGCCTCCGACTCCTCCTCATCCGCATCGACAGGCAAGACATCTCCATCGTCCGCCACCTCGGGGGGATCCTCAACCATGTCGGCCCACACTTCGATGTAACGACTCTCAGGCCTCCTGCTAGCGCAGAGAAGCTGCATGTTCCAATGAATGAACACGAGCTTCTCCACACTCGTGGCGGAGAGGTTGTTGCACCTCTTTGTGTGAATGACATCATGAGTGGCCCAATTGTGTTCACAAGGACTCGTTGTGGACCACATGTCGAGCACCTTCTTTGCTATTGCCTGCAACCTCAGGTGACCGCCGCCGTGAAGCTGCCACCACAATGCTGGGTGCATCGTCTTGCTGGCAGCGTCTCGAACAACAACCTCGTCCCACCAATGAGAACCATCCACCGGCGAATACTGAGGATCACCACAGTGGAAGGTCCATAAATCCTCCCACAAGTCTCCCAGCGCCTTTGACTCCCAACCTCCACCCAACATACGAGAGAAATGATCAAATGTACTTTGCACGACGGGTGAACTGCGATCAGACAACAAAGAGATGTCACGCCGACGAGGATCCAACAAGTAAGCTGGTGCGTGTGCCGGCTGCTGCATCATCGCACATCTGTCTGGCACAATGTCGAAGACCACCTTCCTCTCAGCCTCCCACAGGCCCAATACATCAATCTTCCTCCGCAAGATGGACTCCAAATCCCACAACCCTGGGGGTGATGAACCGTCGAAGTCCATGGCCCTCAAGAAGGTGTAGCAGGGCTCCATCATGTCCATCACTTTCTTGACCTGATGCCACCACCAGTCCGATCTGCAAAGTTTGCGTACCTCCGGCTCGTCCACACGCGCGTCTCCTGCCCATCGTGCATCTCTCCACTGATCAAAGGACACGACCCCATCAAGCACCATCCTCTGCTTATATAGCCTCTCCAGCATCATCTATGCAGTCCCGAACCGTGTGTCAGCGGGGTGTGTCGTGTCCAAGGCCCCTTTCGCGGTTCGATGAATATGGAGCGCCTTTTGCTTGTTCCGCATGAACTTGATGATCTTATGTGCTCTCTTCATCACTTCAGTGGCCCATGGTTGTGTCGCGATGTCTCTAAGAAGCAATCTCAAGCAATGCACCGCGCAAGGGATCCAAGGGATCCGTGTGATGGCAAGGTCTGGGTGGTCCTGTAGAATACTCGCTGCCGCCTTCATAACCTCCACGTTGTCTGTGCAGATGGCGTTCACATTCTCCACCCCTATATCATCTCGTATCACCCCCTCCCATATCTCTGCCAAACTCACGCCTGTCTTGTCTCGTGCCGACATATCGATGGTGCGGATAAGGATTGGCCCTGACTGGCCTGCTGCGATGAAGTTCATTATCGGCTTGTTGCGCTGGTCAGTGGCACCATCAGTCATCAAGGTGCAACCGGTGTCCTTCCACTTTGCCTCCTCGGGGGCGATGAGTGCTGCAACCTCGTGGTATATAATATCCATCATCCTCGTCCTCACTCCCTCGTACGAGAGCAGGCGTGGCGCTAGTACAATGGATGGCCGCAGGAGTGTGACAATGTAGTCCCAATAGTTTTGCATCTCCTTCAGCCGTAGCCAGTTGAACGGCACGCCGCCGCGGTACATTGCAAGTGCCAACAAACGATCGAGATCATTCTGCACCTTGTTTCCCAAGAACGGATCCAAGGTCATCTGTCTTCCTCGGAGTGCGACCTGCGTGGAGGCAGTCGATGTAGTAGGAGTCCCTCTCGCCGCCCTCTCGTCACCTCCATCCCCCATACCGACGAGCGCTCGCAAACGCTCACGAACATCATCCGCGGCGTCTCTGGCAAGACAATCTTGTTAGCCACCATCTGGCCCTGCGGCACCTCTCCCGTCCTCTCCTCTATCGGTTCGTGTCTACGTGGCGGACGCATCAGCAGGGGCAGCAGTGCCACGTCCAACCAGATCCTCCACGACCAGCTCCTCCTCAATCGCATTTGCATACTCC